ATTCTACGAGGTCTGGCTTTGTTGGCTTCTTTTGTGATCTCTTTGGGATCATAGGCTCTTTTTCTGAACTAGCCTGCACGGTATGTATACCACTTCTCAACATGTTAATGTACATATACTACCTCTGTTAAATATTAGTTTCAACTTTGGAATATTTTATATCTCACAAAATAATTATACCTCAACCAATAATTAACAGAGGTAATATGTATACAAACTCCCAGAATTAATAGTGACATTGTCCCTTTATGTGGAACTATGAGTCAGTGTAAGTATTGAATTATTAATATCTTTTTGGACAAGGAACTAACAGGCTAAGCATATAAGAATGAAGCATGAGTTAGCAAGTAAGACATATGTATGGCTGCTGCTTTACTTTCTGTTTCGATTTCTCAACGGAGTCGTTTGGAGTGCATATGCCTTGATCAGATTTGATATTTACATTCTGGTAAGTAATTTATTCATTCTTAGGTTTATAAATTGGCTGATATCATATGTTGGGTGCATTTGTACATACTACATGATTATCATACTAATCACTTGGACCGAGATCAGTCTTCAGCCCACTAAAAAGGACCTATCCGAAGGTCCCATTATTTTTACCCGAAACAAATACTAATCCTTTCTCTCACTTTTGCATGCTCTCGGTACACAGATTGACAATGTCGTTGGCGCTGTGGTTGGTTTTATCCTGCTTCTTTTGTTCGCTGGCTACTACTGTGTAGATAGATTTAGGACCATTAAGCTTAGTCCAATAGATGATTGTTAGTTGTTGATTTGATTAAAGACTTGAAGACAGCGTGCTTTCAGAAATTTTATTTATTTATTTATTTTTTATGGGAATTCTAAATTTAATTTGAGTGTACATATAACAGAAATTTAATTAAGCTTTTTTTTTTTCCTATGTATGCATTGTTCAAGCTGAGTTTATTTTTTAATGGGTTTTAGTTGAATGCTAATTTGCTATTCCTTACTTTCGATTGATGAATATTTCTCTAATTTAATACCAACTTACGAAGTACCCTTTTTTTTTGTTATGTTTAAATTTTCTAATTTATAATCTTGAAATTGCTATCATCTTACATTTAACATTGTGTTGATTGTGAATTTATAATATTTGCTGCCGTTTGATTAGTATAGTAAAACTAGTGCCCAGGTTGATTTGTGCCCTTTTTTATCTCTTTGTATAAAACTATAAATTGAATAACACTTCCATGGTTTTATAACTCTACAAATTCCTTTAAAATAATTATATTTTACAATAGCGATGAAAACAATACTCCCTCCGTCCCTAAATTACATTCCTCTTTGGAAATTTACACGGAAATTAAGGAGGGAAGAATAAGACAAATAACAATAATTAGATAATGCAATGGGAAGTACAAAGGTAGATTAGTTATTACTCATGACATGTCATCAATCCTTTGCAAAAAAAAGGATCAATCAAGGCAATCACATGCTCCTAATTGAAAATTTTTAACCAATCATATTCATTGTAATTTGGCACAAGGATTATGAGTGAGATTAGGTAAGGATGAGTGAGAAAACATTAAATATAAAACAGAAAAAGAGAGTTGATTTACTAAAAAAGACTTACCAAAAATAAAAAGGAGGAATATAATTTAGGGACGGAGGGAGTAGGAAAATATGATTTGGTAACACGTGCACTCCATGTATCACATTGAATTGTACTAATGTTTAATCTTTTTGTAAAATTCTTCATTAGCATAATTTTCTATGAAAATAGTATAGTGCACCCGGGTACACTATGCACATGGTGCACTCGGAAAGAACATTAGGCTTATTTTAAAGAACATGAGAGAAACAAAAAAAGGAACATACGAGTGTTTGAAAAAGAACATGCTAATATTTGAAAAAGAATATGCATAATAGTGTTAACAAAAAAACATGTTTGTGTTTGACAAAGAACATGACCTTCAAAAAGAACATTAGGCATATTTTAAATAACATGGAATAAAAAGAACATGTTAGTGTTTGAAAAAGAATAAGCTAGTTAGTGTTTGAAAAATTAACCTTGTTTGGTTATCTTCCACTTGGCTTCAATTTGTTACTATTCTTCTCTCTCCTCCAATTGTTCTTTTTTGAACAACTTGTACTTCATAGCTTTAATTATTATTTTTTTTTTAAAAAAAAACCCCTAAATTCAAAAAATAAAATACTTTGACTTTAAAATTATTGACGAAAAACAATTTGCATGTACAAAATTTATACTTACATTTTACTTGAATCCACCATTTGTTCAAGTTTGAAGGTTAAGAGCCTGTTTTCATACGTTGAAATTCAGTTCAGTTCAGCTCAGTTCAGTTCAGTTCAATTCAGCTCCTAATTTCCTTCTCTTATAAAATATTCATTTCAGTTCAGTTCAGTTCAGCTGAGTTCAGTCAATGAGAACAAGCCCTAAATTGTTGAAATAAGTTAAATTTTTTCTTGGGTTTCACTTTGAAGATGAACAATTTTGCTATTTTGAATCTATTTTGAAAATTAGAAAAAGATAGAGAGAAAAGTTCTAGAGAGAGAAAATGAGTACTTTGGAAATATTTTTTACCCAAACAGTATAAAAAGTACCAGTATTACGAGAGTGACAGCAAAGTGAGACCAATTTGAGACCTTTCGTTGAAATTCTTATATGAAAACGATGGTGTAAAGGAAAGAGAAAATTGGCAGCAAGAAAGAGAGTAATAGGAAGAGAAAGAAGAGTGAGAAATTGCAGGAGAAGAGAGTGATGGATTTGCAGTTGCAAGAAAATAAAAACATGTTCATTTTTTACCCATGTTCTTTTAAGTATACTAAATGTTCTATCGGGTGCACAATGCGCATGGTGCACCCGGGTGCACCAACTTGGCATTAAATTTTCTATACTTGTCAAAAAAAAAACTATAATAATGTTTACGTAGTAATTTATTTGAAAACCTTTTTTTTAAAAAAACAATATTTGAAAACCTCTTATTATATTTACATTCATTTATTAATATGGTTTGAATTAACCCTTTTAAAATTAATTTTATTCAAACTCATAAATTTATAATGATGTACAAAGTATAAGATTATAGATATGAGGTATGAGTTTAAAATGACTAAAACACATACCATATATTTGGTTGTCAAAAGTATTTTAAAACCCATACCTCAAATCCACTCATGGGTTTAAGGTATGGCCATATGGGATTTAGAAACTTTGGAGGAGGTGGATTTGGCTCATTTCATTCCCTTAAGTATCAAATAAAAGAAGCCTTTCAAAAAAAAAAAAAAAGGTATCAAATAAAAGAAGATAATAGTGAGATATTTCATTCTAGAATTAAATCAACTTATATAGTTATATGTAAATGGATAATTATAAAGCGTTGTTTTACCTATAGTTAACGACCAAATGGTACACGAAGATAAATCAAAGAAATGGGGAAAAAAAGTGCTTATAACTTATAACATACTCCCTCCATTCCTTAATATAATGTCTCTTTCTCTTTATTATGTGAGGAATAAATGCTCAAAAAAGGCATTGTATTAAGGGACGGAGGAAGTACATAATAAACAAGCACAAAAAAAAAGGGTTTATTTTACTACTTGATATTTTGTACTAATGTTGGAGCAAATGATATTGTACTAATGTTGGAGCAAATGATATTTGCTTTGCTTTTAAAACATATTTGCTTTGCTTTTAAAACATACCCAACTTGATAGTTCACTTGAGCAACATTCCCAAACAAGAGAGAATCATCTGAAGGTACATTTTCTAGATAAATTAGATTCCCTAGTTATAGCCTTTAGCACAACATCAGCCCCTTTGAAATGGAGCACTACATCAGGGACACCCGAGGGCAGGGTCTCGTAGCAAGGGTCCAAAGCATTTTCAGGGCCTGGCACAGGGCTGACTGTGATAGCAGTCATAGCACCCTTCATGGTGGTCTTAATGCTGTCATAGATGCTACTTGGTAGGAAAGTTAGGGTCATGCCAGAGTCGATGATTATGTCTTGGGTAACCGGTACAGAATTATTCCCTACACTAATGCCATTGTATTTTTGTTGTGTCTTTTTTTTATATACTTTGTAGTTATTAATGATTATACAAGGTTATAATGGTCATTAGAGCATCCCAATGGTGGTACATAAGGACCTGCTAGCAATTTTTAACTAATTACTAACTACATGTGCCATTATGAAACTACAACCTCTTGTAGCTAAGCCAAACTACATATAGCTCAATAGAGCTACGTAGTTTCACTCCATCCAATGCTATTATATTTATTTATTTAATATATTTTATGTATTTGTTTATTTATTTTATTATTTTTTTATGGTCTATTTATTACAAAAGAATGTAACTTACCATTGTAGAGGTTGTAGTTAAAATCATGTAGCTTAGAAATTTATGATGTATTGATGTGGCAATCTAAAACTGAGCAATTTCCCACAATAATGCTAGAATAAAAATAAATTCCCTTTATGCGTCGATTTGGAAACTAATTCCCTAGATACCGTCCATGTAGGATCGGTGTTGGGTGTGATTTTTTTTTCACCTTAAAACCGCTAATGACAATAGCGGTTATAGCTTTAAAACCACTCTGTCATTAGCGGTTTCAGAAAAGATACCGCCAATTTCAATAAACTGGTCTCTTTTCTTCCTTAACCTTTTTTTAAAAAAGTAAGGAAGCAAAGAGACCTGTCAATAAAAAAGGAAGTCTCTTTTCTGAAACCATGTCACATTATTACTATTAGGTTCAAAGAGACTTAATTTCATTAATAACGGGTCTCATTGCTTTTTTTTTTTTAAAAAAAAAAAAACAAAACCGCTAATATTGCTAGCGGTTTTAATCCAAACCAAATACCAATCCTACATGGACGGTATTTTGGGAATTTGTTTTTAAATGCGTGTATACTGGTAATTTGTTTTTATTTTAACATTATTGAGGGAAATCACTCTCCAAAACTACATATACAATTATACATGTCGCTAGCCATTGTTGATGCTCTTAAGGTGCATATATAATCTCAAAAACCAATTGATTTTGGGAGTAATAAATATTTGTATATTGGAATCACTGCAGCACAAAATCAAGGACAGCTAAACTTCAGCAATCAGCAGTATCCCTACTTGCAATTGATGGACCATATAAAGGCCTAATGTCATTTGAAGAAGCAAAAGAAACACAGACATGAAGTTATTTACAGCAGCAAAGTTATAGTAATTCATCTCCTCCTGACTACAGTAGAGACCCCAAGGAAGGTTTCCTCAAGCACAGCCGGTGCATCGACATTGAAGCTTTCTATATTAGCTTTGATCAGATTATCGATCTTCCCATGACAGCGATCATCCGTCTCCACCACATTTTTGTTCTTCAATATGCCATTAAACATGTTGGATGATCCCGAGTCTCCATCAAAAGTGGTCAGACACTTCAACTGGTCAGCATATTTTCGAGACAGAAGACACTCTGAATTACCCAAGTTGTCAGAATCTAAAAGAGAAACGTACTCCTTACATACAATACTAGAAGAAGAGCTAGGATAAAATCTATTTACTATAAAGCTAAGCATAAGAGACAGAAGAGAGATAAAGGGCATAATCAGCTGCTTCAAAAATCTGATTGCTGGACTAGCAAGTACGCTTCTGGTGCCGAAGCAATGCATCAAAGTTTGTCTCCCCAGATTCATTCGGTAAGACCTCCATGACTTGCTGCTGTTGAGGCGTTTGAATACTTCCTGTCTACAAAATATTTCTTAATAAAGGTACAAGTCTAGCTTATGATATAAAACCAAACAAGTTGAAATGGCACTTACAGTCCGGATTATGTAAGGACGAACTGCGAAGCCAACTAGCAACCCAAAAAAGCATGAAAATGCGAGGGCTGCTACCCATATTGTAGTGGACCCCAAGGAACCTAAAATATATAAGGACATTAATACAAAATTTAGACAATTTGAAGCAAGAATTTGTCAGAATTACTTGAAAGGAACACAGGTTCAGATTCAGGTAGCTAAAAGTGGGCATGACTACAAGACAGTATCACTTTGTCCAAAGATGCTAAAAAAAAAACTCACAAAGCTCTTCCTACCGACAATTTAACAAAAGGCACAGGAAAAAAATAGGCACAATGCACAAGCAAATTGAGCAATTTCTTTAACTTATTTGTTCATAGTGTCAAAGGAATACTCATGACTAGAATGAAATGAGCAAACACATTGAACTAAAATTTAGAATCTCTTGTGCACAGGAATGTGAAGAGAGATAAAAAGGTGAGAGGAGGCATTCTCTCCCGCACCCTGAAAACAGGACCCTGTCCACGAAAAACTCTCCCCCTTGCTCGATTGTATAAAGTCCTACACAAGTTGACAGAACTAGCACAGGATATAAGAAGTTTAAGAACTAAGGAGTTGTGAACATTTAAGTAATTAACCATGAGTTGAGTTTATCAATGTTTCTTTTTGCAAGTGTTTGTGTGTGTGTGTGTGTGTGTGTTGGGGGGGTGGGGGGGGAGGGAGGGGTTTGGGAGTTGAAGGATGAGGGTGGGTGTAGAAGCTATACAAGCTTAATTAATTTGATACTCGGAGTATAACTTCTCTACTTTACTCAGGGATTAGAGATACCAGCTCTTGAATGAACACAATCCTCCTGCTTCAGATTGATCTGGCGGATCAATTTATTTCCATGGTCCATAATCAGCAGAGCACACATCTCAGGAACAAAGCTTAGCTCAAAATCTGGAGAAAAAGTTGCATCTTCTCCAGGTCCATCAGCACGACCAGGCTTTGTGGAACTTCCCGCAATAGTAGAGACACCTTTATATAAGTCAACACAATTATATCAGCTTGAGAACCTTAACTACAAATTCAAAGGTCAGTGATTGAACGCGTAATTGCATACAGAAGACATGTCTAGCAGAGCACTGAGTCAGTGGTCAGTTCATCATACAACCATTAACCATCAATTTTTGATTGACTAGGAAATCAACTTCCTTGAGATAAAATGATCATATAGTCATGCCTAGATGTCAAACTTATGTAAATGCATCTGTGATTTCAGAAAAAATTGAAATGAGCACAAAGTAACAGCACACAAACACAAGGCTAACTCAGAAATGTTTAGTATCCATTCTTGATCTACGTGAATCAAATTTAGCATTTTTTACACCAATTTTCACAAGCAAACATTTCCACTTCAACAAATATACCCCTTGAGATTTAGAACATAACATATTGACAATGATATGCCCATCCTACCTTCCCTCAATATAATGTAAGTTGTGATTTCCATAATTTGTAATAAACTTTCCTGGCATGCAATGTTAAAAAGCTTATTCAAGATTCCTATCACATCTATTTTATTTGGGAGTTATCTTACCAAATCAAAAAAGTTTTCAATCAACAATCATACTGCTACATACTACAAATAAATAATGTGAACGTCGATGATCAAAGTACAAATTAAGGACAAATAAAATGAACCTGAAGGACTAATCTTTCGAACGACGTGATTGCTTCTATCAGCAACATATACATTCCCCTTGAAATCCATAGCAAAGCTTCTGGGTTTGTTAAACATAGCTGAACTAGCATCACCATCAGTGTACTTTTGGTCCCCATTTGGCCCATTTCCGGAAAACCTCTTCACCAAACTCTCTGAAACAAATAAACAGATATAATAACCAAGAAAAGTTAGAGATTCCACCAACAAGAGCATCAAAACTCCTGAACTATGTTACTTCGACTCGATTCATATACAGAAGTACCCATTAGTCTATTACCCAACAAGAAGATTTTACAAGGTGTTAAACTTGGGCATTTCTAGAAAATTCATCAAATATCTGAACTGAAAAATAGTTGAAGACAAACAAATTTAAGGGAAATGAAGCAGATAATAATCATTTTTAACCATATGAGCAGAATTAGAAGGGAACAAAATCATCAAAACAAATTCTCCAATGCAAAACTTTGATCATCAATATCGTTTTAATCGGCCAATAATATAACAATATTCACTTTAACAAGATTAACAATACCCATCATTTATACATAAATTCAATACCAAAAAATCCAAAAAAAATTGAAATTTATAAAATTAAAAAATAATGAAAATACCTTGGGAAAGTGGAAGAGAGAGAGTGTAAAAAACACTGTTAGATGAATCAAGGAGGAGATCATGGAATCCTGGGCGAGATGCAACTGAGTAAGGATTAATTTTGAGTTTGTTGCCATCAAAAACTGTTGTCACTGTATACCCATCTTCATAAATCACCTCTGAAAGCCCTGTAATTAAAAAAAAAAAATCAGAAAAAATAAAATAAAATTACAGTATAATTAGAGTGACAAATAGAGCTAAACAATGGATAAAAAAGAAAGTTTTGATTTTTTTTATAATTTTATTACCATGAAAGATGAGTAGGTTAATCAAGGTAAAGAAGATGACAAGGTGAGGAAGAAGACTCATCTCAATTTCACTGAAAATTAAAAAACGTTGGAATTGAAAATGAAGAAAAAAGAAAAAGCTTCATAAGGAGTATACGTACGGGGCTACTGAAAAAGTTCCAGTTTATCGATTTGAAAAACGAAAAAAAAAAAAAAAAAAAAAAAAAAAAGAAAATTTGTCTAGAATTACGCGCAAGATAGAGTGATTTGTGAACAACTACCCATTTTTTTTATTTGTTTAGAATTACCCGCAAGTTCGGAAAAATTTGGGTAGCACTACCCACTAGCGTTTTTCGTCCCATTAAAACGTTATTTTGGCCCAATTTTTTACTTTTTTCAATTACAATGGTGAATTAATGCTAAAATAAGCAAAAACCCCAATTCAATTAAACCCCCAAACCTTAGAAATTAAAATCCCCAAATAATACTACAATCATGAACCCTAAAATAAATTATGATTAAAACCTTAATTAGGTTAATTAAGGTAGATTAAAACCTTGATACAAATTGGGAGAGTTAATTGGGTGGCAAAAGTGAAAAAAGTGAACTCCGATAACGTCTTAATAGGACGAAAAATGTTAATGGGTAGTGCTACTCAAATATTTTCAAACTGGTGGATAGTTCTAAACAAATAAAAAAAATGGGTAGTTGTTCACAAATGACCCTATCTTTAGGGTAGTTCTACACAAAATTTCCAAAAAAAAAACAACTTAAGAATTTTTTTTTAAATTTATTTAAGAAATTGCCTACACTTTTTTTTTTTTTTTTTTTTTTGTAGTGGGTAAAAGGAAGAGAAATGGGTTAAATTACAAAGTTATCCAATTTACATAAACTAAATAAAAAAATAAAAAAAACAATTTCATTTATGAATCAATTATATTTCCAAAAAAATAAATAAAAAGGAAGTACTTCCAATGTTACTTGTTAGTGTTGAAAAATGCTCGGTAAGATTATACAGAGTATTAGGTATTTGCATTGTGAACATAAAAATTTCATTTTCAAATGGATATAGTGTAATACTTCCACGTTTTTTTTTAAGTCAACTTGTTTTGAATTTTGACACGATTGATTCACAAATTATACTTTGGTTAACTTTTGTGATTTATAAATATAATAAAACTAGTTTTGTGCCCCGTGTGATACCCGGGTCGTTTATTGAATTTTAAGATAAATTTATAATCTATATGTCAAAATTTAAAATATACTTCGTATCATTGATACAAAATTAGTTAGGAATTGATGTGCTTTTCTAACTATTTGTTATCTAGTAGTCATGTAATGACTAATAATAATGTTGGTGAAAATGTTTAATTTAATACATTAAAAAATAAAATAAAAATTAGCAAAAAACAAACTAAATAAATAAAATGTTCAAAGCACGTTAGATTGACCCGAACCCAAAACTTTGGGCAAGGGTTGAACATTTCTTGACTCTTAACTTGAAGTGACCCAATCCAAGATGACTCATGACCCAACCCTAATTGACAGGTCTCCATTCTATTAGATTGTGAAGTATATAATTTTAACCGTTTAGTATATATTATAAATAGATGTTTTACACTTTGAATTACTTTCTTCGCTCTAAAAAATATTATGATATAAAAATAAATTTATATGATAAGTTTTTAGAATTATAATCTAATAATTTTTTTGAATAAAATTATAATTCAATTTGTACATATGAAATGGTATTTTATCGATAATAAAACTCTAAAATAACAATTTTATTCTAAAATTCTATCCAAATAGAATTCTAAACTAACTTTTTTATCTTAAAAATTCTATTTAAATCTATCCAATGCGGCGCGACACTTGGCGAAAAGTTGAAAATCCAAGTGTCGCAATCTCGTGACCTGACTAAAATTTTAGTTTTATATATTATATATATCGAAAATTTCACCAAATACCATGAGTTTAAACAAAATTCACCAAATACCATCAACTTTTTCCAAATTCACAAATTACCACTCACTTTATACAAAATGTCACAAAATGCCAAATTTCTTAACAGACGTTAGCATGCCGTTTGTGTTAGTTTACTAAATTGCCCTTACTTCTTTAATGACGCCATTTAAAGCATTTACTCTCCCAAAAAAGCACAGTACAGTTCGAAAAACTTGACCCTTGGCTTCATCTTCTCCATTCTCGCACTCTCTGTAATTTAGTACATTTAAACCCTTAAAATTGATAAAAAAAAAAAGAAGCTTCAATCTTTTGAAGATTTTAGGCGTTATTGGTGGAGAAAAGTACTCAAGCGCTTCAGATTGAACCAGAATCGCAAGATCGCGTCGGTGGCTGAAGGTTTTTGTTGATTGTGACTGAAATTCCAACCAACTCAGGAAGCAAGGTACATTTTGCTTACACAAGGTAAAATGTTGTTATTCGATCTTCATTTCGAGTTCTGATTATGTGTTTTTTTGCGAAATTAATTTAGGGTTAGGGTTTTTTCAGAAAGTGTGTATTTGCATGTGATGGTGGTTATATTTCGCAAAATTGCTATAGTGTTAGTTTTGCTTTGCTGTGATTTAATGCGAATTGTTGTATGTGATTATTTTGTTTCGTAGGATGAGTGCATTGTGGTTGTTAGCTCGTTATAGGAGTGATTCTTTTGATGTTATGGTGGATGACACTGATAAGACTAATTTGATGGAGTTATTTGAGTACATGTTAGAGGACTCAGTTAAGCAGAATGTTTACCTTCCTAAATCATTCACCATGTTTGTTAAAAAACCTAGAACTAACCGTAGGCTAGAGTTGGTGGATGATGGGGCTATGTTGAAAATGTGGGAATGGAATGAAGGGAAAGAGGAAATTGAGGTTTTCATTGAGGAAACAGATGAAACATCACAGGTTTTTAAGTCAGCTAAAGCTAATTTGGCAAAAAGGTTAAAAGAAAATGCTGATAGGTTTAGGAGAGAGGCAGAGAAAGAAGAAGCTGAGAGACAACTTAGAGAACAGGAGCAATTCACTGTAGCTATAGAAGTTCCTGTATTGGATGCAGAGGACAATGGGGTTAATTATGTTAGAATCTTTAACACTCCAGCCTCTGATGAGATCTTTCCTGGAGCATCACAACCTGAGCCATCACAAAAAGAATCACCCCCACATAAACAGCCTACACCTCCACCTACTGAAAAAACCAAAGAACCTACTCCAACTCTAGCAAAAAAAAAAATCCTAAGAGAAAGAAAGTGACACCTAGAAATAAAAAGAATCAGTCACAACAACCTTCTTCACCTAGGGATCCTATACCACCACCTACAAATCCTGACCAAGAATAATATCAACCACCAACACCAACCCCTATTACTTGTTTTGGGTGTTTTTGTCCCTCGGAAGAGTTACAACACGAAGACTGATCCGACGGGAGCTGTACCTGCAAGACAAACGGAGATACCGGTTGGGTAGTGCTCCGCCTCCGACGCACAAGTTAGTAACTTGTAGAGAGAGAAAAAGATGTGGAAATTTAGGTGGGTATCTGCTCGGATTCCAAGCTCAGATGTCTCTATCACAGGGACTGTATGTAATAAATGGTAAAACGTGCCCTCAAAAAGAGGGACATCTCCCTATTTATAGGTCTTTGGAAATTGTGCCCCTAATTAGGTTACTGAACCCTAATCATTGGTGGGCTGCGCCGCTTTGCGGCTTTCTCGGGATTTGGGCCTAAAGGCCGCCTTTTTCCCCTTAATTTCTGGAGTGACACGTGTCAGGCAGAGATTGGTCCACTTTGGGCCAACATGAAGCTGACACGTGTCGCCCTCTGGTTGGACCACGTGGCGGGGTAAAATTACCCTAAACATTTGCCCCTCACAGATGTGACGTGGCACGCCACGTGGCATCTGTGACATGTGTCACACTCCGATGGGTGGTAATTTAACCATAAAGAAGTAACCGTTCACCTTCCGAGTAAATTACGGAAATGCCCCCCGTATTTACCCTCTATATATAGCCGTTCACCCTCATAATTTTGTACGTTTACAAAAATTTTCTAGAGAGAGAACTTTGAGAGAGCAGAAGTCATCCGTTTGAGTCAGGCGCAAGCAAGGAAGCTCGTACTCCATCAACCCAGCCGGACCCGTCCGTTTTCAAATATCAAATCCAAAGGTACCGTCTCTGCCTCTCTCAGCTCTTTTTCTTGTTTCACCGCTTGTACATATTTCTTGCAATAAATGGATGCATCACCAACACACACGGCACAACCTAGGTTAGATTCCAGCCGGTCACCTGGGACGGCTGAGTCTAGGACTGGGAGTGCCGTCTCAGGGTGTTGGGACCACCCTTTGCCTTGGATTCTGACCATTTATGTGTCTGTGCAGGACACAATGGCTCGGACTATGCAGACGACCATTGATCCAAACTATAGAAGCGAAGGCTCAGGAGGCCAAACGCCTGAGGGAGAAACGTCTGGTCAGGGAGACCAGACGACTCTAGAGAGATCCCCTCCGCGCGCCCCTTCAACTCCCGCTGATTCCTTTTTGGAAGAGTGCGACCAAGGCGGCGATGAGGCCGTCTCAGCCCCTTTAACCCAGAATGAGGAGGAGACGGAGAGCGACAGCTCCGCCTCTACCTCTGAGAGCAGCGACGATTTACCCCCGCTTGAGGATAGCGAGGAGGAAGAAATGAAGAAGTGGAACGAGAAGGACGATCCCTTCAACATCCACGTCTCCTCCAAGGACCGGATCCAAATGGAGGAGAAATAAAAAAAAAACTTTACGCAAATGCACCCGTTAGGAGACGGATATAGAATCCGGGTGCCGCCTGAGGATGGCACCATCGCCTGGGAGGATGATCAAGAGAACGCCAACAGCTATTTCGGCTGCTATGAGGCGGCGTTCAAGGCTGGTCTTCGCTTCCCCCTTCACCAGGCGGTGAAGGCAATATTGAGAGGCTACGGCCTCGGAGTCTGGCAACTTACCCCCAACTCTTGGACAAACATTCTAGGGTATGTTGCCGCCTGCGAGTTCCAGGGGCTTAACCCCGGCTGTGAGGCTTTTGCTAGTATGCATTATCTTAGCAGAAGCTCAGGCGGCTGGAGGGCGTGGTACACTCTAACCACGCATCCCCAATACATGATGACCTTGGACAAGGTCTCGAAATTCGACGGCTGGAAGCACAGGTTCTACCTGATGTCAGCTCCCAGCAGACGGGAGAATTATGAATTCCGTCAGTACAATAAGAAGCCCGACTTGATGGGCCGGAAGTGCGCTCTTCCCCGAATCCCAGAGGAAGATTTTGACAAGATCATTGAGGCAGACTTTTTCGGCCTCACATACGCGACCTTGTCAACCGGGGAAATAATAAAAGTCCCCAAGAACTGGATCCC